CAATTTACCTCTTCATGTCACTGTTCTGTTAGGTTTTCATTACTTAATTAGCAAATTTTTAACTTAATTCGTTATATTATATAGCAAAATCTTGACTGTAGACTTTTGTTAAAGGATAAATTTTAAATAATTTTGGTCCAAACCGTTATTAAAATTTTGAAAATTAGAAAATTCCTCATGAGAATTTTTATTAATGTGTGGTTATACTTCTAATGTTTAGGAAACTGTTGAAAAAAATAAATTCTACATTTGTGTTTATTGGTTACAATTGATACCAAATGAAGAAGTTTGTATATATTTTTCTATACCGGACTCTTTTATATTTGAAATATGGAAAAATGACATATATATACACACACTAGATTATACTACCTACATACTGCATAATACAGTAAAATCTCTCTATAATGATACTCTATATAGGAATAAACTCTACATAGTCATAAAAAATTATATTCTCAATTTAGGATAGTTATAAATGAGAATAAACTCCATATTATAATAAGTTATAATTTTTTTAATTCCCATCTTAAGGAAAGTTGTCTCCACATAGTAATAATTATTTGTATATTACAAAAAATATATATGCTATGTTACATTAAAGGTTTATGATGAAATAAAATATTTATCTAAAGTTGTTTGGGATAATGATTTATGCTTTAGAGTTGTTACCAAATCTTCTAACTTGCGGTATATAATAACTAGCTAGCATGAACATTTTCTTATTGAAACCAAAATATTTATAGCTTTTCAAGCATCCTTAGAGTTTCATGACACAAAACTTTTTGCATTTCCGTACTATCATCTTCAGGATTATTTCTTTTTTCTTCTTGTCTAACTGTAGCAATGATTTCTTCTTCAGTTAAAGCCTAGACGATTTGTTGCTCATTTGGATGATCGAGGAAGACATTAATATCCATTCAATTAGTGTAGTGAAGTTGTCGAATCTGATCATTCAATTCTGCAATGATAACAATGAATTGAAATCCTACTAATACTAAAACATGAATTGAAATTCTAGTACTACCAAAACATGAATTTTAAAATAGAAAATCAAGTAATATTAAAAGTAAACAAGAAATCCTAATACTATCAAAACATAAATTATAAAATAAGAAACAAGTAATGTTAAAAGTAAATAAGAAATCCTAATACTACTAAAACAATTAATTGAAGTCCTAATACATACTATTAAAACATGAATTATAAAATAAGAAATCAAAATAGTTTTTTTCTAACTATACCTCTATTAAGTTATAACCTTCTTATAGTAATAAATTAGTTTGATTCCAACATTATGACTATAGAGAGGTTTTACTGTATTATGTTTCCTATTTAACCGTAAACATTAACTTATTTATATATATTTTTAATGGATAATAATTAAATTAATAATAATCATTAAAACAAAACAGATTTAATTATGGTTTTTCAATAAATATTTATACCTAATTTGAGAATGAACTTTTACTAATTTGTTGCTTAATTGACATGAAATGTGAATTTAACTTCTTAAAAATATTCTTGTCCCAAATTCCTCTCTCTTGAATTTAGCTTGAATGTCATCAAAAAACGCATAAATGTTCACATCCTCAAATAAAGAGTCTACCTCAATGCCTCACCAATAAGTCAATAATGTTGTTGGATCAATATCAATGTTATATGATGTAGTATATATTTTTTAGATTTTGTTCTTTAGTGATCTTCACGTGTATCCTAAAGGCACACTGGAAGACTTACAATCTTTATAAGTGTGATTTGTTTTCAGTTTGTGTTGTATGTGCCATGCGTCAGTCCAAGTATTATGTTTATTTCTTTAATTTTAGTTGTATAAGTGGTGCTTATTTTTTAATTTTAGTTTCTTAGTTTTATTTTTATAAAGTGGTAATTGCTTTTTTGTTTTTAGTTGTGTGGTTAATGTTTGTGCTTTTTATTTTATGTGCTTTTTTATTTTATGTGTTGTATGATCTAATGTACAATTATATCTTATTACTTTCACTAATTTAATCCAAAGTATAGTCTATTATCGAAAATTATGTGCTGTGTATTCTACCTGCCACCCACTTAGTTTAAAGTTCTCTAATAATATTGTTTGAGTAATACTACGCCCACAATCCAATCTCACAACCTTCTCTTACAACTCCAATGTGGTAACTGAGTTGGCAATTGTCACGTTGGCTCCCACCATATCCAAGGCATTCTTAGGGACGAATGGTAGTTCTTTCATAAAGAATAGTTGTTCCTTATGAAGGAATGATCGTTGATCATTCCTTCATAAGGTGATCATTTCTTCATAAAGAATGTTTGTTCCTTATGAATGAACAGTCGTTCGTCCCTAACGAACAACTATTCATTCCAAAGGAATAGCCGCTCATGTTTAGTTAACGTCGTCAATTGACGTGGTAATAATAACTCTGCTATCATGTTAGGGTTATAAGAGAAGGTTGTGAGATTGAGTTATAAATATAGTATTTTTTATATCGCTTACCTCATCTCAATTTCATCCCAATATTAAAACCTACATGTAATTCTGAAATTTTTGCTTAACTCTCTACATCATTGGTCAAAGTTATGTTAAAAATAACAATAGACTTCAAAGGAAGTCAACGACATTAACTATACTATTTTAAATTTTTTGTATTTTTTATTTTTTTTAATCTTAGGGAGCGTTTGGTTTAGGAAATATTGTATTACTGGAGAATGTTATATTAATGGAAAGATAAATTGCCAAGAAATGTTTAGATAAATGTCATTGGCTGGTTGGAATAAATTGGTGAGTGTGTTATATTAATATGTTTGGTTGAGATGATAAATGAGTGGGGTTGTTAGATAGATTACTAAATTGTCCTCCTTTTTTAAATAATAATATAATATTATTTTTAGTATTATTTTCTGAATAATTTCTTTTAACACCCTACATTTGAAATTTTGCTGAAACACCTTAACCATATAAAACTTTAATTTTAGCAAAACCACTCTCACCCATCCCAAGCCACTGTCAATAGCCAACCACCACCGTCAACAGCCGCCATAATGGTGCATGACCAACCGGATCTAGCCGTTTGTGCGTCGGGAAGGCCTTTTCTGGCCATGGATTAGAAAACAACCCGATTTGGCTGTTTCACGGCTAGATCTAGCCATCTCCTACCATGGATGACAAATCCATGGTCCGAAACATCCTTATCGGTGCACGACTAGTAAGATCCCACCGGTCTTGCACCGATATGATGACTTCCGCCGGCGACTGGCAATAGTCTGGGATGGTTGAGGGTATTTTGTTAACTTTTTTGCAGTTTGGGTGTTTTAGCTAAATTTTCAAATATGAGGGGTCTAGGTAATGGTTATTTGGTAGACATATAAGAGCAAATGTGTTCGAAATGATAAAAGATTAAGGACAAAATAGGGTCAAAATTAAAATTACCCCGGTAATCTTATAATAACACTATTTGGAAAGGTAATCTGATTACCTCCAATATTATCAATAGTAAACACTATTTACAATAAAAGATTACCGTAATATTTTATTACTTGACAACCAAATGAGAGAATCTTGAAAATTAAACAAATATTACAGAATTAATCATATTTTACCCTGAACCAAACACAACCCTAGTAGTATGTTATTTTTTATTAGAGTTAACGGTTACTAGCCGTAACAAGTCTGGGAAGGGAAAGTTCGTTTAACAGAAAACGTTAAATGTAATAACGGAAGTTAACAGAGGTGTTAGTCAGCGCTGCGATTTGGAAGTGCTGTGATTTTGTAAACTCAATATCGAAGAAGAAGAAATACAGAAGTAAAATGCAGTTGCATTTCCAGTGTTCGGCTTAATGCTTTTGAAGAATCAAAATTGTGTTTGATCTTAGAACTAAAACTCTTTCTGCCGTCAGTTTCAGCTTCCCCCACAAATTTGACGACCAAAATTAAGGAACACTACAGTACCAGCCTTGCTTCAGGTCCAGGCTGAGATATAAAAATAAATAAATAAATGATAGTAAAATAGATCAAGAAAAACTGAGAGTTCACAGCTCCTGTACTGCAGAAAAAAAATAATATCGAAAAATCTACCGTACCAGACATTGATCATTAAATTTTTTATTAGCCTCGAGCCTCACTCTCATTATTGATTCATTTAGCTTTATGGTTGCGGCCGATAATGACTTTCTTTTACAAGATTCCTTCTTTCATATAACTACGGGGCAGTACTTTTCCTTCCTCTTCAATTTGCAGAACATTGCAAGAATCTCATCCACTTGAAACGATCCCTTTGGATAGGATGCTCAAATATTCCCTTTTGCTTTAAAATCTTGCATGTGAAGACACTATATGAGCATCAATGCAAGAATATTTTGATCAACAATTGCAACAGAATATCTCGATTGTTTCCATATTTGTAAGGCTAAGAACTTCTGAATCTTGATATTTTCCTCATCCATTCTCTCTTAATATAGGCCTCAGAAATTAATTAAATTTGCAAAATACAGATTCCTTTCACTAGTTTTCGTAGCTTTTTCCTTGATCTAAATTGTTTGAACAGAGATAATCAGGAGAACATTAGAGAATGTTTTAGAGGATTGAGATGATTTGAGAATGCAGGAAAATTGCTAATAAATTTGATTTGATTGAGTATAAACTAATAATAATTGGAGAGAATACATATCTCATTTGATTTACAAGTTCCGTTCTAACTTGACAATCTTTAATAAATAAATAAAAATAAAGCAAAAATCTTGATCATACATGAATTTAAAATAAATATACTGATTGAAACTCTTTTGACTTACCTAGTTAGCAGCTAAAGCAGCGGAGAATGTGAAAATATGCTGTTCTTAATTACAAAAAGACCTCAAATATTCAACTATTTATAAGGGTACAGGAGTGAAGCATTTTCTATCATCTTGCCTTCATCAAGTTCTTCTGAAACTTAAGAACTTAATCTTTATCAATAATTAGAGATGGCTTTAAAGGGCAAGCTAGAATTTGAAGTGAAATTGAAGGCAAATGCTGATCAATTTTACCAAACCCTTAGAAGACAAAGCCATGAAATTCCCAGAATGTCCTCTGACAAAGTACAAGGTGTTCATATCCAGAAAGAAGATGGGAAGTCCAAGGGATCTGTCAAGAAATGGGATTATACCTTAGGTAATTAAATTTCATTATTTATTATAAGCTTGTATTATTATATTAATTGGTAATTATTTTAAAAATCAAACGCAGCCTCTCGTGTGTGTGTGTGTGTATATATATATATATATATTCATAATTAAATAAATTAACGATCAAAACAAGAATTTTTTTTTTTTTTCTAATAAACATGTTTACATAAACTTTTATGTACAATATTGCATATGTATTATTGTTTTGTCATCGAATTTAATTTATTTAAATTAGTTTATTAACTGAAGTCTTTCATTTTTTTTATACTTCATCGATCTAATTCTTACAGAAGAATTTCTATATTGATCAAGTGCAAGCATGTACTCATTGATTCTTAAATAAACTTTATCCATGCAAAGAATTAAAAAGGGGCATGTATATTGATGAAACAATTATTAATTATGTTAAATAATGTAGATAGAGAAGAAATAAGCGCCACGGAAACAATTGAAGCAGCAGATGACAGTAAAAAGATGATCACATTCAAAATTATGGATGGAGAAATTATGAAGGCTTTCAAGAACTTCAAGACAACTGCTCAAGCAATACCAAAGGAAGAGGGCTGCCTGGTGAAGTGGATTTTGGAATATGAGAAACGGAGTCAAAATATCCCAGATCCAGTTGACTACAGGGAATTGGCAACAAAGATCTGCAGAGATATGGATGGTCACCTTGCAGCAAATTTTAATTAAATTAACAGTAATGTTATGTTTACAAATTTGATATTTCAACTTTAGATCCTAACTAATGTGGCTATTTGCCAGATCAGTTGAGATCGAAAGTTGGAATCTCAACTCAATTTAATTTGTATACATAACGTTACTGGTAATTTATTATCCTAGTAGTATTTGTCTATAAATAAGTGCTTGGGGTTTTTCTTTTCTTATTTCGGTTGATTCATCTTCATGCATAATTTATGCTTTCAAGACACATATGTATGGTTCTGGGGTCGCTGCAATTGCTACAATAAAATATTATTATATATACATATAATATTATGTTAATATAGTCAAGTTTTTGGTTTGTTAGAGAATGATGTAGATAATATCTCTCTTCATTATCGTTATTATTACTTTGAAGCCGATATTTGGTTCTGTTACAAGCAAATTGAGCTAAAAAATAAAAGATAAAATTTATTTTTAATTGCTTATTTTTAAAATAAAATAAGTAATTGATTCGTGATTTAATAAGCGAAATGCTTCTTAAACAAAATCAAAATCTTTTACGAAGAGTGAGGGATAAAAACTTGGTTTAAAACGAAAACATAGTCAATTAATTTAAATGATAAACCATTTATTGCATGTAACACTCAATTAATTTCCATTGATAATTAATGGCAAAATGCATCGGACATCTATTGATAAAAAGACTAATGCAAGAAATTCTTTCGGCTAAAATTTTTAATCTTAAAAAATTAATGGCGTTACTTTGGATATTCCTTCTCTTTTTGAAGATTTAGAATTAATCTTAAAAAAATTGGCAAATTATTAAGAATTAATCTTAAAAAAATTGGCAAATTATTAAGCAACCTCGTCCGTCCCTAGATTCATTAATTTCCATATCATCCATCATCTTTTATTTTTTGAACTTTCACCTGAACAAATAAATAGTTATAATTGATAGTTATAGAATTGAAATATAACAAACAAATCCATAAATAAATTAAAGTACTATAGAGTTAAAGTCTTAATCCCCTTGAGGTATAATATAATTACAAACCTCCATGAGGTTTATGAAATAACAAAAAATTGCCCTGTTGTTAAGTTTTTGGTGTTAAAATATACAATAAAAGAGCAATTTGGTAATGCTACTTATTTACTACCTATGTTTCATAATGATAGATGTTTTAAGACTATGCACATTTTTTAGTGAAACAATTTTCTCTCTCCTCTTACTAACTTCTCCCTCTGAAATTGCAAGTGGGAAATCTTTCGAATTTCCCGCTATATACAAGTGAGAAAGAGAGAGAGAAGATGAGGGTCAAGAAAAAGTAAAAGAGAGGAGATAGGGGCCATTCGTCGAGAAAGAGAGAGAGAGAGTTGAGTTGGTTAAATGTCTTTTATTTTAGAAAAAAAGATAATAACCTTAAAACAACCATTATTGTGAAACGGAGGAAGTATAACAATATAAATTCTTACGGTTTATTAATAATTCATTAATGATAAGGAGATTTTTGTTATTTCAAAAACCTCATAGAGATTTTTATTATTATATCATAACTCAAAGGGATTAATGTTATTAACTCTTAAATATATACATCACAACTTAAAAACGATGTATGTGATTTACCGTTAACATTAATTGAAAGGAAAGGGACTTCAATGCCTTTAAATGTTTAGTTTTTGAATTTTACGTAGATTTAGGTTTTGAATTTTCTTTTTTGATAACTGTAGATTTAGGTTTTTAATTTTGATGAATTATTTACCTACTGTTATAGCTGAAATGTGTATTGCGAGTTATATGATATCAAATAGTATGATTTACTGTAGCAACACAATACATGCACATTTTTCGTTAGATCACTCTCGATCGTAGTTACAAATGTTTAATTGTAAATCATTTTTCAAAGTATTATGTTCTAAGAGAAATTTGTACTTGTGTTTTGCTTTTTTGATTTAACTCCTAAGCTTGCCTACTTGTGCTTGTGGCATGGCGTTACTTTGCATCTTCCTTTTCTTTTTGAAGATTTAGAATCTGAAAAGTGGCCAATTGTTAATCAACGCCTGTCCGAACAAATAAAATGTTTGTGATTGATAGTTATAGAATTGGAATATAACAAACAAATCCATAAATAAATTAAAGTACATTTGTATCACAAAATCCCTAAAAGTTAAGGATTTAAAAAAAGTAGATGAGGAGAATATCTTATTTCATGATTCATATAAAGTACTTATTCTGTGGACAACTTCAAGAATCTTATCATAAATTTTGCCCTTTTGCAAATAAAGGTATAGAATCAACAAACGCAAGCTTAGATGAGGATGGATAAAGCCACGTCGTCCTCTCTATGTAAGGCTAAGAGCTAGCAAATTCTTTTTCTCATCCTTTGGCCTCTACAAATCTTATTTGTTCCTTTGATTTCTGAGTTAAAAAAAAAAAAAAAAAAAAAAAAAAAAAAAAAACAGCTATGGCCAAAATGTCAAAGATGGAGGTCAGTAGCCAACCACCACCATCAACAGTCGTCGTAATGGTGCATGGCCAGTTGGATCTAGTTGTTTGTGCGTCGGGAAGGCATTTTCTGGCCATGGATCAGAAAATGGCCCGATTTGGCCATTTCTATGGCTGTTTTGCAGCTAGATTTGTCCATTTGTGATCCATGGTCGAAAACATCCTTATCGGTGCACGACCAGCAAGATCCCACCGGTCTTGCACCGATATGATGACTTCTGCCGGCGGCTTGCAATGATCTAGGATGGTTGAGGGTATTTTGTCAACTTTTTTGCAGTTTAGGTGTTTCAGCTAAATTCTCAAATATGAGAGGTCTGTGTAATGGTGATTTGGTAGACATATAAGAGCAAATATGTCCGAAATGATAAAAGATTAAGGATAAAATATGATCAAAATTAAGATTACTTATAATAACACTATTTAGAAAAGTAATCTGATTACCTCAATATTATCAATAATAAATATTATTTGTAATAAAAAATTATCGTAATATGAGAAATTAACAGACGATGTCCCAGATCCTAAAAGTCAACTTGATTTTGCTCTTGAACTTTCAAAAGATATTGATAGTCATCTTCTTAAGGCATAGAATACACATGGCGTTGTGACAATTTGTACTAAATTAATTTCTTGTATTAATAAATCCAGTTTCGAACTTGGATTCGACAACTGATTAATGATTTTATAAGACAAGTATTAAAATAAAACATTGATTATGGAGCTTGTAGAAGTTATGATGAATATATTTTCAAGATATTGTTTCCCAAAAGACGTGCCACCAAATATGGACATTTGACATAATATTATTCACTATTTATTTCATTAATTTTTTACATATGTAATAATATTTGAGATCAAAAACAAAAAAGATATATAACTTGTTTGTTAATAAAATTTTCAGTCTGAAATTTATAAGATTGATATTCACTTAAATGCATAATTCAGAGACTATGTACAGTTTGCAAATAAGACATGTCGCCTACTTGAAGGTCAAATACAATAAATTAAGGACAATAGTAGCTATTAAATGTATTTTGTGATGTATAAATATCATTAAAATTTTACAAATTCAATGATCTTAAAAATTAATATTATTAAATTTTTTAATGATCTTATAATATATTTAAGACAAGACAATCCCACTCGTTAATCGAACCCACGTTCTTTCAACTGCATACTTGGAGTTGGATGCATCAATTGATTTTTGATAATTAGCATGTAGCTTCCGGTCTTAGACATATTAAGCGATTTAGTCTGATCTTATTGGACCTGTTATTCGTTAATTATTTCTTTATTATATAGCTTTAATTATCGTGCCCCTCTCTTTAATCTTTCGCAATCATTCACCCAATTTCCTATTTCAATTAGCATAATTATCTGACATGAAATGTCCCCAGATATGATTGCGCCCACACTTTATTTTTTTAATCGATTATTATTGATCTGCATTATTTCTTCCTGTACATTCTCTTATCGTCCCGTCGATTAAATATTAATATGGCAAAAACAATAAGAGCTAACGAAGTAACAATTGAAAAAAAAAAAAAAATAACTTTTGAAAAATTATAAATACGGGTTTTTATATTACTAAAATCCTAATATTCATAAATTACTGAAAATGGATTGAATTTTGAGGTAAATATTTGCAATTGAGAAGTTATCATATGAATAAGGAGAAACTGTTGGGGATTGGTTAAACCAGTTTAGTTTTGGATTATCTATTTTAAAGTACAGTGGAATATTTACCAACTAGATTAAAACATTTTCAGGTTTTAGCCACATCAAACACAAGTACAGAAAGTAAAGAATACAGTCATATACATGGTTCGACTAAATCCACTTTTAGACTACATCGATGAGACCTTGTCCAGATCAAAGCAATCTACTAAATTAAAAACGCATTACAAGATATAGTTTAGCCACATCAAACACAATTGCAGAAAGTAAAGAACACAGTCATATACATGGTTCGACTAAATCCATTTTTAGCCTACATTCGTGGGACCTTGTCCAGATCAAAGCAATCTACTAAATTAAAAACGCATTACAAGATATAGTTTAAAGCTAATCTAAGTTACAGTAAAAGGAACTCCCTGTTCAACTTTACACTTAGCACCACACTCTAAATCTTTAACATGTAGCAACTTCTTGGAACTTCCGCTTGTCGGGAACACACCCAAAATAGCTTGTAAACCACCAAACTTCAAGCACTGACGCCACGCACCAGCATTAGCAAAGGAACCACTTTCCAAGTGCCATCAAGTTTTGTTTGATATGGTGAAGTTTTGGCACAAAATGGAAAATGAACCTTGAACCTTAAGAGAAAGAATACTCTAAGAAATTCAGAGTAAGATGAAATAAAATATCAAGAGGTTGGATACATTTACGTAAGAAAAAGTATTATATAAGGAAAGATTTATTGCTCAACAAAACAGTGTCACGTTAGTCAACAATGAGTTGATCCATGTTTGTCCAAATAAGGAAAGTATTCTTTCTTTTAGTTTGGACCACGAAACAAATTGAAAAAGATAACTTTATTCCCTATGACCATTTAAGTAAAAAATGACACATGTAAAAAGGTCCTAAATATCAAGAGACAAAGATAAACACAATCTTTTTTTATTTATTAAACATGCAACTCATGTCGGGTTGCAAAGAGTTTGAAGCGAGACCATAAGCACAAACCGTTGTGCACACACACTCAAGATGAATAAAGCCAAGACACATTTATGGCAAACTGTGTGCACTACGAATTGATGTGCACATACATAATAGATGAGACAAGTCAAAGATTGGCAGCTAGTGTGCACACATAATT